ATTTTCACCGGTCGTTTAGCTGGAGGAGGGCAAGCGATTGTCACCTCACCGCACAGGCTCCATAGGAAATGAATGGAGGGCGAGCGACATCCCCTAACGTGTGTCGAGGCCTTAATGCCTCCAACATGGCCGACTTCATGTTTGATGACATCATCAGAATACATGTAAACAAAGGGTCACATATGAAACCTTTAAAAGGTTATTTATAACCTGCTCACAGAAGCAGCCCGTCAGGATGATGGGATTATCTGTGTGTGTTTTGATGACCTGTCCGGTCTGAACGGGTCAGAGKTCCTGGTTTATTCACTCAGAACCTCGTGTCTGCGACCTGACGGCCTCCAGCTCTGCATTCAGAGCAGACGAGTCTGCGGCGTGAACAGAAACTCAACAACCTGAGCCGTGTGGTGAAGGAGCGCCGGCTGAGGAGGCAGACGTTTCTCACAGCGATGCGTGTAGCCTCCAGCTCTCTGAGCACTGTAACCAAAACGTAGCGTGACACCAGCTCTATAACTCAATCTGTGTGTTCTGTGGATCCTCGCTCAGCCATCTGCGCTCTGTCATGTTGAATGAGCAGCACATCCACACAACTGTGCTGTCATCCTCTAAGGATGTGTGCTGACTTTCCATCTGTACAGAAAAAGGAGCTACATATCCATTAATATGCACTCTGACAGCTGAAGAAGCTCACTTCAGCCTGAATCTGTCACAGCGGGAACAGAAAATACTCCACATATCTGTGTTTAGGGGCTGTTTTACTCTGCAGACTTCCTCCTCCATCACTTCCCACGAATAAACTAAACACTTCAGTTAATTAGAATTAAAAAAATCAAAGACATCACTTGGTGAGAACAAGGAAACTTTGACAGTTGTGAACGTCCAGAGGACAAAACCTCATCTTTGTTTCATTAAGTTAATACATTAAATTTCTATTTTTCTGTGGTACTTTGTCAAATACAACAACACAAAGAAGAGAAAAGTTCGAACACCTTGCRMTTATTTTGTYGGACTGTCACAGCCTCGTGAAACTSAAACACRAGGAAACTCCGGTTATTTTAATCAAATCTTTCTGAGATATTTCAGCCTGTTGTTAAAARGCATCCTACTAAACAAGTGTTTAAAAAAGATATTTGTTTATTTTAATTATATTAGTTTTAATTGAAAGACCATGTCCATCAGGCACAAACCAGAGTCAGCAGTTATACGATGATAAAATCCTCATCACAGATTCATTGAAATGTAAAATTAAAGCTGAATATGAGTATTAAGTCCAACATTTGCCTGTTTTTCTGTTTTCTCATTTCTGAGAATTTATGAATAAAAGAGTCATAAATCTGTTTTTCTTTAATCTGATTTTTCTGAGCTGTCAGGATTTATTAGTTAAATGTTAATACAGGTCGTCATCTTTTAAAACAAGTATTTTATAAAGACATGTTGTAATGTTTGTGTGTTTTTATTTTAAGAGTGACTCCAGGTTTTGCTGTGAAAACTCGAGCCTCAGAGTCTCTTTTAATCACAGAAAACTAAACGTTTCTGATGAAGACATAAATACAAAATGTTATCTTCTGTTTGTAAGAAAGTGCATCACAGATTTACAGGTTTAATGTGTTTAACTGTGAATTTTTAATTTCCTTGAGTTAGAAATGAGGACTTTGTTCAAACTTTCTCAGTTGAGTGAACGTATCTCAAATATAAAACCAATAAAAACATTAATATCTGATTTACTTTTTAAATTTAAAACCTTTAAATCTCGAGGCTTTGATTTTTCTCCGATTTTTTAAGCTTATTTTGCGAGTAAACAAGTTCATTAAATAAACTTATCAGGATTTATAAAATGAAACAACTCACAAAATGTTTAATTAATGAATTATCTCATTTATTTACCAACCTGTGAGCCCAGCCTGCAGGATCTATAAATAATCTTTATTATCAGTGAAATCCTCTAATTTAGCTCCCATTTCTTGGGAGCTAATGCTAATGATATTAGCTTGGGAGTTAATGCTAATAATATTAGCTTGGGAGTTAATGCTAATAATATTAGCTTGGGAGTTAATGCTAATAATATTAGCTTGGGAGCTAACACAAATAATATTAGCTTGGGAGCTAATTCTAATAATATTAGCTTGAAAGCTAACACAATATTAGCTTGGGAGCTAATGCTAATAATATTAGCTTGGTCAGCTATTATCAGTGAAATCCTCTAATTTAGCTTCTGATGCAAAACTTTCATCTCTTTATTGGTCCAAAAGTGTCAGAATAAGTTTCCCCCAGTGAATAAATCTGATCCTGGTTGTTGTTTTGGGGAGTTRGGTGTTTACAGATGACTGGAGGAGAACATGAAAGCTGTGATAAACGAGTCGTCAATCAGCCGACGTCTCATTTAATGATGGATTTGATCGGTTTGGTTGTGTGTTTGTGAAGGAAAGTGCTAGCTCGGCTCGTTCAGGTGACAAAAACTGCATCGTGTTTACAAAGATGTAATTTCAGCGTTTCTGTGCTCTGGATTGATTACACCTGGAGATGTTTAATCTCAGGATTAATGTCAGTCCCACTGATTCCCCTGCTCACAGTCAGACCGACTGAAACAGCAGCGACCTGCGATCGGTGGCTGTGTGTGTCTGTGTGTGTGTCTGTGTGTGTGTCTGTGTGTGTGTGTGTGTGTGGCTGGTCCAGCAGTAATAAATGACTGTCTCCTGGTCTGTGTTTAAACAGTGATGGATGTCGCCTCCTTTTGTGTGTCTGTGTGTGCGATCTCAGCCATCCCTTGTCGGCTCTCCACTGAGCCTTGCTAATAGCTAATGGACAAACAATTAACTGGCCCTGAACGATGTTAAAGAGTTAACGAGCTCATTAAGACGACAACACGAGGAGAGCGACCTGCGTGCAGACAACAACTGGGAGGGAAAATTAAAAAGCTTAATGTCTAACACCTCCACTGTCCTTCATCTCCCATCAACACCAAATACACAAACTGCTGCTGGCTTTTCATTCAGCCTAATTACACAAAAACACAAAACTGTTTTAATTATACAGCTTATGTTCCAGGTATTTACTGCAAAGAAATTAAAGGTTATTTTACACAATGCTCACTTGGTAAAAACCTGTAATGTCTCATAAACATTGTCATGTTTACACTCCAAAACATTCTGGGTAGATAATGACACTAACAAGGTGCTTCTGTTTAGCCTTTTTAGCTTTTGTGTTAGCTTCAGTAGTAATAAATATGGAGATATGGCATTGGTTTCAAAGCCAGTTATTATTATTACTTATTATTTATTGGTGTTAGTTCCTGATTGAGCTTGAGAGCTAACGCTAATAATATTAGCATGGGAGCTAACTTTAATTATACCTTAGGAGCTAACAATAATAATATTTGCATGGGAGCAAATGCTAATATTAGCTTGAAAGCTAACAKAAATAATATTAGCTTGGGAGCTTACACTAATAATATTAGCTTTGGAGTTTATGCTAATTACCTAAGGAGCTAATGCTAATAATATTAGCTTGGAGTTAATGCTAATAATATTACCTAAGGAGATAACGGTAATAATATTACCTAAGGAGCTAATGCTAATAATATTACCTAAGGAGCTAACACTAATAATATTACCTAAGGAGCTAATGCTAATAATATTACCTAAGGAGCTAACGCTAATAATATTACCTAAGGATATAATGCTAATAATATTAGCTTGGGATCTAACCCATAAGCTCCATCTCTAATTCACTAAACATCCCTTTAAATCATTTTATCACATACACTGTGCAGAACATAGTAATAACTTTATTACCACAAAYCTTTTTAGCCTCGACTCTGTTTTTAGTCTGAACTGTAACCCATCATCATCATCTTCGTCGTCGTCATTATTCCCAAAATGTATTTAATCAGTAAGAAAAAGGGGATGTGCTGAAGTTAATAATGTAATAAACATCCATCCATTATCTGTACCTGCTTGTTCCTTTCGGGGTCACTGGTGCCCACATCCAGCAGTCACAGTGTGAGAGGCGGGGTACACCTGGACAGGTCTCTGGTCCATCACATTTAAAGTAACTGGATGGTTTTATGTGTCAAAAACAACTTATAGTAACATTTAAACCAAACCAAGATGGCTGCCACTGACAAACTGCTGGATTTCRTTCCTTCAGTTCCTTTGACAGATACTGAGCTAAAGCTTGGTGGTATCTGAGATGATTTCTCAACTCGATGATGACATCACAGCAGTTTCAGCTTCAGAGCTGTTAAAGCAACAGACTTATTTTAGTTGTGTGTTCAGACTCAGCAAACACCACACCTGTTTAGTGTTTGTGCTGATCAACACAACAAACGTGTCAAAGGTCTCACCTGGCAGGCCTCAGATCGTCTCATTGGAGCACAGTGTCTGTGTGTCACTTCTCAGCCTAATAAAGTCCATTACTGAGATAAGAGGTTTGGGGGGACGGGGTCTCGTCAGGTTTGGGGGGACGGGGTCTCGTCAGGTTTGGGGGGGACGGGGTCTCGTCAGAGTCCTGACTAGCTGTTTATAAAACCAGGAGTTTACATTCATCCTGGAGGTGAAATCAGATGCAGACGTCTCCCCGTCTGTCTGAATGTTAACACGGACCTGTTGGTGATGGATGATGTTTGATAAAAGCGATGAAACGCTGAGGGAACAGTTCAGGGAGAGAAACCAGATAAATGAGTTGTTGTCATGGTTACTGCCGTCACTGTTTTTGGATGATTGCGAACAGGAAGTCTCTGCAGGCCGGATGGATTATGGTAATGTCTCTGAGCCCAGGTGCATGATGGGTATGAGGCTGGATATGAAGCAGATTATGGAAATATGAATGGAGGGACCGCTCAGAGACTTGGAGGGTCTTATCTGGGACAGATTAACTCTGTGACGTGTTTCCAACTGCAACTGTAAAAAAGTAAGAAATGAAATAAAACATTTGAGGGGAAGCTCACTGAACCTCTCACCTCTGTGTGTGTCGGTCACTCAGACGTTTCTGCAACATTCAAACAAAGGAGTCGAGTTCATTAATATTCATGAGGTGTGGGCGGGGCTGAAGGTCGGTGCAGGAAGCAGGTGAGCTCTAAAACAAAACAAATAAAACAAGAGTAGAAAAACAGCAGAGGAAGCTGGTTAATCATGAAGCTGTAGATCTAAGCTGCGCTGCTYAATAACTCCACTGACATTTAGAAACCAGATTATTGTGCTGTGGTTCTGAGTCCGCACAGACCACAGGGGCCTCCTGAGGGTTAAAGACCAGGGTCTGTGGTCCTGAAGGCTCCGCTCAGTCTGACAGGAAGAGGACCACAACCACAGAAACCATCAGGAAGAAATGTTAGACAATAAAACACAACTCCTTGTTCAGTTCAACAAAAACACAACAAGAGAGAGAAACAACAACAACAACCTTCAACAGGTTCCTGCAGATCCTTAAAAACTCACATATTTTAACACATACGGAGCCATTTTATTTCCACACAAAGCATTCTGGGTAAATGATGATGTGGATAGGTCCTCAGTGCGAGGC